GGGAAGGCTTTTTGCAGAAGGTGAGATTTTAACTAAGATTTTAAGAAAGCCAGGGAAGCCAGGAGGTAGTAATGAGGGGAGGAGAAAGGAATAAAAGACTAAAATAATTTGATTTCATGCAAAACATTGATTAGGTGGAAAACAGCAATATTATTTTGTATTTGGAATACTGATAATTCATATACTACATAAGTGACTTTCACTTGAAAGTTTTTTTTTTAAAGGATATTTGGCTTTTATAAAGGTCAAAATATAAGTAAGATTTCCATGGCTGTATGTTAAAGAAAAAATAATTTAAAAAATTTACAAGATCTTACAGTTGGGGAAATATACCAACAGATAACCCACTGGTTAGTTTTTTTCTTTTCAAATATAATATTCCAGTTCATTAAATTAAAGATGGGAAACTTTTCTCACAAGAATATTAAGGAAGTAATATTTTTCAAGTTTGCAACTCTTGCAGGCTTGTTGTATGATACTGAATTCTGATCTACATAACCAAATTAATTAACTATAGCAATAAGATATTGTAAAGTGTGTATTCTTTCAAAATAGCATATTAGTCATTTTTCTGCTCCAACAATTATTTATTAAGCATATATTATGTACCAGAGACTGTGTTAGGCATTGAGACATATGAAATGATACTTATTCTCAAGAAATTTTTATCTTAGCAAGAGAGTATTTAAATACTTTCTAATATGGCCAATATTTCAAGACTGAAAATCTTGGCTTATCATAAGGAAAACTGAATCTCTAATGAGGACAACAGAGACCAGAATAACAGTGTTTAGAAATGGAAGGTAATTTAAGTAAATAGATCCCTTTGATGAGTGGTCACAAACAAATGATAAAATTGTTCCTTTAATAGGTGTTTTACATCATGCAGTGAAAATTAATTGCATTTTGAAAAGGAATGACCTTTCTAATTATGAAATACCATTTTAACCTCTTGTATGTGCAATTTTTCCAAAAATCATCTTCTTTCCCTTAATTGTTCAATCCCTAAAATCCTCCTTCCAAAAATATATCCATTAAAGAGATTTGTCCTTTTTTTTTTTTTGGTTGTAGGAAATTTAGCCATGTAGTGAAGTACTATAAAATATTACTCGACATGACACTATTTAAATTTACATATTTCTAGGCAATTTAGCTAGTAGTATTGTAATAAGATAGGATGCATATAATCTGATAAATATGCAGCTGTTTTAGATAGCACTTTAGACTCACACATTGCCTTTGTAGAATGAAGAGAATATGTGACATTTGGTGCACTTAAAATGTGATAAACCTGAAATTATTTGGTAGTTTGACAAAATCACAGGGGATATGGAATATTTGAGGCTTTCAATGACAGGTTTTTCTATTGCAAGTAAAAGGGAAAAAAAAGGGAACAAAGTACTTTAAAGGATAGAGTCTCAGATTTATTATTTCTTTTCAATATGCATTCATTTCCTTCATTAATACATTCATCTATTTATTCTTCATTTAGTAAGTTCCTTCTATATGCATAGCACCATGCCAGATGCAAGCCTAGATAGAAAGATAATAAGGACATAGTTCTTGCTCTCAAGGTACTTGAAATCTTGGCTGGGTTGAGGTGGTTATAGTGATATAAAAATATGTGGACCTGGAGTATGTGAAAAATATAAAATAACCATAATGTACAATAGCGATAGTATCATAAAAGATGTACATAGGTTATCCAAGGCCTTGGGGAAAAAAATCATATTTCTAATTTAGAATGCAAGCTTCTTGAGAGCACAGAATATTTTTTTGTTTTTGCATTTTATCTTTGATTCCAAAGTGCTTTGCATTGTGCTATGCACATAGTAGATTTTTAATAAGTGTGTTTTGGATTGAATTGGAATATATCCTAAATAATACCTCGAGGAACTAAAAATATCCTTTCATCTCAGGAGGAGTAAATTATACTAAATGATAACATTCTTATTAGTTACATTTTAAGAGAAATAATACATTGAGTTTTTGATATTATTTAATCAGCTTCTCTTAGGGGAATTTAGTAAGTTACTATGGCACTGCTTTGAATGATACCCTTTTTGCTTAAAAGAGGTCATATAGCACCCACAGGCATGCCATACAAATTCACTTACAGAAATATTAATTTTTTATCAAGAAATATTTTGATGACAATAGCAATATGTATCACATCTACAATTTAGATTTCTTTCAAATTGTCCTCTGAAGTAGGCTCTGAAATAATTTTTGTTCATATTTTACAAATGAGGAAATGAGGGCTTAGAGAGTGGAAGTCACTCTTCTAAGTTGCACTGCTATTAAAGTAACACAATCAGGACTCCAACTCATGTTTCTTGGCTAAAAGTCTAGGGATTTTTCCACTAACCTTGCTACCTTTCCATAAGGGAAGGGGGAAAAAAAGTATAATTTTTTCAGAATCTTATTTGGTTATGTTTGGGTTTTTTTTCAAATTATGCAGTCTTGGGGCAGCTAGGTGGCACAGTGAATAGAGCTCTGGCCTTGGAGTCAGGAGGACCTGAGTTCAAATCTAGCCTCAGACACTTAATACTTACTAGCTATGTGACCCTGAGCAAGTCACTTAACCCCAAATGCCTCACTAAAAAGCAAAAAAAAAAAATATGCGATGTTATCAGCAATAGATGTTTGATTTCCTGTTCTTGGTAATGACTATTTCAAATTCCTTTAGATATTATTTCATTTAAAATGTGTTTTTGTGACAATAAAGAACCCTCTCAAAAGTTATGAAGTTATGGGGAAAGAAGAAGAAAGGGGGAATAAGAGAATGAAGGAAGAAGAGAAAGAAGTAAGGAGAGAAAAAGACAAAGAGAGAAACAGAGTGAGAGGGAGAGAGACAGAGAAAGACAAAGAGACAGAGAAAGAGACAGAGTCAGGAAGGCCTCAGAGTCAGGAAGATACCTCTGTTTAAAGACCATCTCTAATACATATGCTACCCTAGACAAATCGCTTAACCTCTCAATATCCCAGACAATTCCTCAGGCCTGTTAAGTTGTGGATGTGGATGGGCAGAGAGAGTTTCTCTTACGGGGCAGTTTCCCTAAACCAGTGAAATCACAAGTGGTACAGTTGAATATATATTCTTTTCCTTTTTCCTGGGGCACTGAGAAGTTAGTTAAATGACTTGCCCAGGATCACACAGCCAATGTGTGTCAGAAGCACTCTTTCAACACAGGTATCTTCCAGACTCTGAGGATGGCTATTTCTCAATTATGCCAAAATGCCTCTCATCTGTGTGCATGCTTATGTGTGTATGTTTGTGTGTGTCTATATATGTGTCTGTACATATATATGTGTGTATGACTAGTTTAGTGTCACGTTCAGTGACACTCTTTATTCCATTTAGGGGTTTGTTCCTGGGATTAATTTATAGGGGAAAGAACTTTTAGGAGGACTTCATTGGCCTGCAAAAGGCACCACAGATATTTGTTTCTTTCTGTTCTATCTCTGGTGATGTTTTAGAGAAATCATAAGAGGTTATAAGCTATGAGAATTGAGGCCTATTAGTCTGTTCACCCTTGGGGATTGATCTAGATCAGACCAAGTACTGAAAAGCCTGAGTCAGAAAAGGAATCTCTCACTTGGAAAGAAAATTGGAATCATCTTTGCATCTTTTGCCCTTTCCCAGAATGTCCTACAGCTATCCTCATCCACTATTGCCTGAGTATCATTAGTTACATTTTTCTGGTTCTTTTGGCTTAGGGATAGGTAGGAATCAAAAGCCTGATTCTTCTTCTTTTGGGTTAATTGCCCACTTTCATAAAGTCCAATCACATACCTAAGGAATGATCAGAGGACTAGTGTTGGAGAGTAATAGGTGGGCAAGCTTTCCAATTGATAAGTAAATCAGTGTTTTCTGATACTTGATTGTTTTTAAAGCTTACCCCATCCCCCCCAAAAGAAAATAGAAACATGAAAATGATTTCAATAATGTCTAAGGATGGGATTGAAAACTCATTTTAGCTTTCATACCTTACCTAGGGAAGTGGTTTTTTTTTCTTTTTCTAATGCATGATGATACCTTCTTTGACTCTGGAGCTCTTTTCCCCCTGTACTAAGGCAGAAGTGACTTTTTGAAACTCGTTATATTTCAAATGCTTTTTTAACAAGCTGGAAGTGAAAAAACTTATGTGAAAAGCAAATGATATTTTCTTTTTCTTTTCTACTCATAAACAATTTGAGAGAAGAAAGAGAACATAAAATCTAGGTTCCTTGGATATAGGTGTATTTCAAGGAGGAAATCCATTTCTATTTTTACTTTGTTAGCACTTCCCTTGGTGGAAAACCTTAGAATTGTCATCAGTAAAAGTGTAACTAATGGAAATGGTTGAAATTATTGGTGAAAATGAAGGTGGTTTTTAATTGAAGACCTGTCTATACCAGGCTTGGAGCTAAGAGAAAAACATGAAAAGATCAACTCTTAACCATTTCTTTATCATAGGATCCCAGATCTTGAGCTGGAAGGGAAGTTGGAGACCTAATTTGTCCACTTTCCTCATTTTTGTAGATAAGGAAACTGAGATCCAGAAAAGCAAGTGACTTAATGTCACACAGTAGATAAACCTTGGAGTCAGAATTTGAACCCAGGGTCTCTGCTTCCAGAGCCAATTCTCCACTGTACCATACTATGACTTTTCCCAACATTGCACATTAATCATTAGCCCTGCATCACTAAAGTGAAAATTAGTGTAACTCACAGACTAATGTGCATCAGATATTAAAAACCATTGGCATTAAAGCTATGAAATTTTTATTTGCAGAAAATTGTTCCCAGTAAATGTTAAACTTAATTAGCATCAAGTAGTTAGAAAAGACCACTGACTTTAAAGGGCATACAAAACAGCTGCTTATTTGGCAGCAATCTCAACTTTACCAGAATTATAGCAGGCAGCCTATAATATACACACTTCTTGCCATAGCTAGCTGTGACATTCTGTTGCTGAGGAGACATATTTTGAAGTACAAGGTGGGGGGAAGCTTACCTGAATACTTTCTAACAGATCACATCTGCTGTTCAGTTATGTGCACTTTGCTTGTAGAAACCTGGAACAGTGAGACAGAATAAAAAGTGAATGTAACCCAACAGTATCCAACTTAAGCCAATGCTACCAAAATTCACTTTCAGATGACAGGACACGCTTCAAAAAGCTATTAGCATGCAACTCCAGCTGCAAGAGATTTTTGTTCACAAACTGAACAGCAATATATCTATGCTTTATTCGCATCAAAAAAGTAAACCAATCACATTGACAAAAAGCCACTGTAAACAAAAAAACTGTATTTTAAAAGATTAACAGTTTTGGCATCCATCCCTACCATCGAGTCTTTCACTTTTTTTTTCTCCATCAAAATTTAGGTTATATATTTGATGTTAGCAAGAGTTGCATTACTATTATTGCTAATTTTAGTTCTGTTTATTACCTTGAGGGTTATATATTGTAAAAGAATTTTGGTGCCTCTAGTTAATGTTAATTAGTGGTTTTAATAGCCTATAAACCTATTTGTTATATTTTTGTAGGTTTACTTTTTTAACTATCAGTAACTTAATAACTGAGAATATTTAACATTACTGTTGCATACTCAAAATTACAGAGTTACTATTAGTGTTACCTGTTTAACGTTTAGTCATCCTTTGAGTCCTGCGACATATTTCCTTAATAATCATCAGCCATCAAGTCTGATAGTCTCAAAAGAAATATCAGCCCTCTAAACTGCCTTCAAGGGCGGTGATATTTAGCACTGAAAATTACAAATAAAGTTTTTGAGGTTGAATAGCAACAACTGGCCAGTGACACTGATGATTTGTTTGTCAAAACAAGTTATTAGAAACTACGCAAATGCTGTCGACACACTCCTCAGAGTGAAAACAAGAACGTGAATCTATGCAATGCTTACATGTTGAATGGGATATTTAATGTGCGGGGAAACTCAAAGGTTGAAGAACTAGGCATTTAGACAGTGGTAAGTGGTAATCTTACCTCTTTATACTCCATTACATTCTCACGTGAGACATGCTAATACAAACAAGTCAATCAGAGTTTGTGTTTAGCAAGATAAAGCTTAGAGGATAGTTTAAAATCCATTTATTATTCTAAATCCAGTTTTTCCATTAACATGTTATACATTAGTGTTTACTAACCATGATTCATGTAACAGTTTAGTTTGTTAACTTTTAAATTATTTAACAACCAGAAGTTATTAATACAATTTTTTAAAGGCTTACACAAAATTCTTAAAACAGACTTGGGTTCATTTTTGTAATTTTAAATAGAAAACATTTTAGGCATCTCTTGAAGAAGAAATAAAGCAAGCATTTAAAGCTAGAAAACAAGTAATTCCAAATTTAGTTTGTTACAAAAGGTTTCAGCTTTATTGACAAATTATGGCAAACATATTTGACAAAATTGTGGTTTCCTATTTAGAGAAGCTTACACATGGAACTTTATGTGGTTTTTTCTTTTTTAACAAATACAGGTTAAAACACTGAACAAATTCAGTTAGCTACATACATACAGTAGCTGCTTGTTTTCAACCCCATTAAAACAGCATTTAAAATTAAATTTACAAACTGAATATCGAACATCTTCATCTAACTAACATATATTAAAAGACAGGTTAAAACAGCTTATCTACATCTTGATTATCATCTAGTTCAAAAATCATATTACAATCTTTTAGCAACCCTAAACAAAGCTCAACCTCAGCTAGTTGGTAGAAACTCAAGATCTGGTAACAGCTTCATGCTTTTTCTTTTAATAAAAAATAAAATGAAATAAAATACACACAACAATGAAAAACAACCAAGAGTATATCATCCTATTGAGTGGTTTATAGACGATGCTTGCCAAAGTCTTTTAAGTCCGTGTTATAAAATAATACTAATGTCAATGTCACGCCAACAGTATAGGAAGAAATACACAAGAAGTACAGGGGGTAATCATGAGCAGTAATCCCTAGGATAGAAAAGAAATGGACTATTACTTGTCTTGTTGCTGTTTATGTGGAGACCACAGGCTATTAATTGTCTTTGAGGTGAGGTCACAGATGAGGAAGACCTTCAATATCTACCATAGGGGTGTTCCCTGTATCCCCCTCTGGCTGCCCTTGGAGGTGGTGCCTTTAGGCTGGAACGGGTTGGGGCCCATTCTTCTTGTGCTACAAATGAAAGAAAGACAGTAAAATACATGTAATATTTTTCATTTACGATAATGGAACAGTAGACACAGTACCTGGCCAAGAGGAAAATTTTTTTTTTTAAATTAATGCTCTGAAAGGCTAAAACTGCTCATCTTCACCAGTGGAGAGTAAGACTATAGAACATTTCCAGAGTTAAATCTATTCAAATACAACAACAGAATGAGACACTTGGAAACTATTTTGAAGGGAGAAGAGATTAGTTATTGGAAGACTGTGCTTTTATTAGCAGCATGCAAATCTGTTATATTATAAAATATATATGTGTGTATGTGGGGAATGGGTCAAGGGATAGCCTAGGGAATTATTAGGACAGATTACTACATGTTTGTATCCTAATTAAGGCTTTTACATGGACCAAGAGCTGAAGAATCCTAGATTGAAAGAGTAGCAGAGTCTGGAACCTGAACTATTTCTAACTAATGAAAAAGTTGAGTGATATCACACACACACACACACACACACACACACACACACAACCACACACACAAACCAAACATACACCCCCCCTTACACACACACACACACACACACACACACACTAGATGGTCTACTTCAGAGGGCATCATGTGTTGCAGTAAATAGAGAACTGGCTTTCCAAGAAGGAAATCATGGGTTTAAGTCCTACCTTTGACACATATTATTTTCAGGTTTCTGAGTAAGTAATTTAACCTGTTGGTACACAAGGCAATTCTAAAACTATGGCAAAGGGCACTGATCCACATTGGTTGAGGAAGTTCCTCACCAGAAGTTTCTTATGTCAATGAAACATGAGATTCAGTTAAAAAAAAAAAGGGTTACTCAATATGAAACCTGAAAGACTAAAAATGGATTTGTATTTATAAAGCAACTTTCTACTTATCTGGAGATCAGATTCCCAGCAAGCTCAAAATTTCAGAATACAGCCAAGAAATAGGTAGTGAATCAGACAGAGGACTTACATTCAAATTATAGCTCTGATAATTATTTACTATATTATCATAGAAAAGTCATTCAAACTTCTTGAGTCTCAGTTGACTCAATCTAACATGGAGGCATTGGATGGGATGGCCTACAATATCCTGTCCAACTCTAAATCTTAGATGGCCACTAAGGTCCCATTCAGTTCTAGAACATTGATTCTATGATCCTAAATGACAAAGTATCTGAGCAGCATGGGGGTGGGCAGGGGAAGTGGGGGAAGATCTGCTGCAAAACCCAGACTTTTCAATACATGAGAGGGTATGGCCACCCTTAAAATGAATAGCCTTTTAGAGGACTACTTACCAAATCATTTTGTTACTGGAAAAAAAAAACAACCAGAAACTAATGAAAGATTCAAGTATGACAAACTAACAGGTATATGTATTCATTCACTTTATGAGTAAGCTATGTAGATTTATATATATTTTAATTATCTTTTCCCTGAGAAATAAGCTACTTGTGAGCAGAGATTATTTCATCTTTTGTACTTGTATCTCCAATGGTTTGTACAATGCCTGATACAAAGAAGAAGCTTATTAAAGACTTGTTGTTTGATTGATTAAGGGCATTATTCATTAAAATAATAGCCAGCATTTATATTATGCTTTAAGGCTTGCAAAGTATTTTACAAATACGAACTGATTTTATTCTCATATCAACCCTGGGAGGTCAGTGTTAGTTTTATTACCATTTTACAGATTAAAAAAAAACTGAGGCAGACAGAGGTAAAGTGACCTGCCTGGGGAGACACAGGGAGTAAATGCCTGAGGTCAGATTTGAATTCAAGTATTCCTGACTCCAGATTCCATGGTCCATCCATTGTCCCCATGTATCTGCTTCTGTAGTCATTTGCTTTTCACAGCAATCCTGTAACATGCATGCTATTATCCTCATTTTACCAATGAGGAAATTGAGGTAGACAGAGGTTAAGTGCCTTACTCAAGGTCCAACAAATAGTGCTAGAGGCATTATTTTGAAATTGTTTTCTTCACTCCAGGGTCCTAATCCAGTATTTCGCTCTGGAAGGCATTTGGGGGTGGAGAGGTACATAACTCAAGTCTTTCAAGGATATGCCTGATGACATCAAGCTTTGGTAGGTATAGCTAAACTAAAAAAAATTTGAGTGCAGGCTTAGTAATGAACTAAGTGTGTTACCCTAGGAACCAAAGGTTGGCCAATGGATGATAACTATTTTGGCCACAATAACAACTGAAGATCATCTACTCAAATTTGGAGGGTTTGCAAATTTCATCAGTTGAGAGACTACTAACATGGATGAAATTGCAAACCTATGAAGTACTAAAGTATCCCTTCACTCTATTTAATAAGATAGGAAGATACAAAATACATTTTGAGAAATATTTGCACAAAATGATTAAGATTTTAAATGTTTCTGTACTTAAAGTGGCAGATATATTCAGAATACTTTCTCTGATAATAGTGAATAAATTGAGTTCTACTATAACTCTCAAAAGTCAGGGTGCCTTTTTCAGTTCTGTACATTGCTCTAAATGATATGGAAAGAAAGGAGAATAGGGAAATAGAAAGAAAATAAGAAATGCTACACTAAATCAGAACAGTTGTCTCTTAAGCTCAAAATTTTATCTTTGAAATCAAAGTCAAGATGGCCTTTGTAGGACAATATGACAGTTGTTCTCAATGTTATTTTCAAAGGACAAAAGTAATTTTACTTTTACCCAGAAAGTCTAAGATAATTTGGGGACAATAAATATACTCCAGTGGCATACTTTTTGATAACTGTGGGGGGAGAGGAAGAGGTAACCCTGGCAATCAAGAAACAGGAATAATTGAATAAAAATAATTAAATTACAGCGTTATATAATTAAAAAAACCCAAAAAACAGAAACTGTCCTGTAACACTGATACAGAGGGAAAAATAGCCTTAGGCAGTTCAACTTTGGATCCTTGGCCCAGGATTAGTTAGTAAAGTATCAACATGCTTAAACAGCAATATTGTCTCACAGAATGCATCAAAAGGACAACACTGAGGATATTGAACTGATAACACATTTCAGGGAACATTGCAAGGTTCTTGGAACAGCTCCTGAGTTCAGTGATTATTACTTGGAAAAAATCTGGGTACTTCTGACCTGCAGTGAATCTACTCTATATCTATTCTATGTTTCCACATGATGAGAAGAACAATTGGTGGAGATCGGTCAATTTTGAGTTCTCATAAAGAAATGCTTCTGATGTGGAAGAGAATGGACCAAAGTGGTTCCAGAATTGGCAAATTTCTCTGTAATTTTTCTATAGGGAAATCAATCTGGAATCCACAAAGTAGACTTTTGGGGATTGCTGTGGCTTAAATGTTCTTGGAGACTTTGAAACTACTTCTAGGTCATGTAGACGCTGGTGGCTCACTTTTATTCAATAATAAAGGTCAGCAAATTATAGGGCCAGGCAAGCAGCATGTGACATTTTAGAAAATGAGATAGGGACCAAGAAGCTTAGAAGTCAATTCATTTATAAGAATAACTAGCTAGACCATAGGTGAGAAAAACTGATAACTTAGTTATTGATCAGAAGAGGACTTTCATCCAACACTCTCCATTAATTAAAGAGAAGGAGAAGAATAAGAAGAATATGATGATGATGAAGTGACCTGTCCAAAGTCACTTATTGGTCAAAGTCATGTGACCAATTAGTGACAGACTGTGGTCTGAAACCCAGCTCTTTGATTCCAAAGTCAAGTATTTATTCCACTGTACCATGGAACCTCTAATAATCAATAGAAAGTGAGAATAAAATGAAGAGAAGGGAAGAGGGAATCAAATGAGACATGGTTTATTTTTGGTTCTAGAATTAGAAAAAAAATGATTTTATGGCAGTAGTTCTTAACCTGTTTGTGCCATAGATGCTTTTGGCAGTCAGCTAAAGTCTATGGACATCTCATTAAAAAAATATTTTGAAGTTATATTTATTTATTTATATTTTAAAGTTAATTTCAGTTAGTGTTTAGGGAAAATAAAGGTCTATTTTTTACCCCATTCAAGTTCATGGACCCACTGAAATCTCAAGGACCCACTGAAATTTCTGTGTAGACTTCAAGTTTCTTAGATCTGCTTTCAGGCATATACCATACCACAGGTAAGGAAAACTCAGGAGCTATTATCTTCAGGTTATTTGGCATTTTGAAAAGTGAGAGCATACTAGAAGGCAGTTATTTGTTAATCAGATATTGAATGCTTCCTGTCTTACCTACTTTTCCTCTTTTAGGCTTTTCATACCTTTAAATATATAAACTTTTACTTCTGTTTCAACTTTTTGAAGTTACCAACTTTTATTTGAATGTTTGATTTAATTAATTAGCTTATTGAATTAATTTTTCAGAATGATATAGAATCAACTTCTTTTTCTTTGGGGGGGTTGTTAAAAACAATAGTAGCAGCTAGTAGTTATGCAGTGTTTTAAGGTTTGCAAAGTGGGTTACAAATATCAGCTCATTTTATGCTTGAAACAACCACAGATGATAGACACTAGTTCTATTTTACAGATGAGAAAATCATTGCAGACAGAGCTTAAATGACTTGCCCAGGGTCACACAGCTAGTGAGTGTCAAGTGTTTGGTCTGAGGCTGGATTTGAACTCATGTCCTCCTGATTTCAAGGCCGGTGCTCTATCCACTTCTCCACCTAGCTGCCCCTCAACATGTACTTGTTAGCTATATGATGATAAACAAATTGTGTTGCTAATAATAAATGCTTTGTCTTTTAAGTTGGAAACACACTGTAAGATTTGCTGAATTGATTTGTATTAATTAATAAGACCTCATTTTCAAAAAGGGAAGCAGAATGGTGTGGTGGAAAAGGTGCTGGGCTAGAAGACCCAAGCTCTAGCCCTGGATTGGTAATTTTCTAGCTGTGTGACCTTGGGCAAGTCATTTTTCATTCCTTGAAGCTCAGTTTCCATCCCAGAAAAATAAGAGGGCCTGCATTTATCCTGAAGAATTCTTCTGCCTCCAAAATTCTGTAATT